TTTAAGCCTACAACTAGAAACTCTAAAAAAAAGTAAACAAGCAGAGCTGGAAATAGTGTCTACATTATTTTCTAAGAACAAATACCTATTTTGACTCCAAGTCTTCAGTACTTATCAATTTTAGTGGAGTCAAAATATGGATTTCTAGCTTCAGAAAATAATGTAGACACTATTTCCAGCTCTGCTTGTTTACTTTTTTTTAGAGTTTCTAGTTGTAGGCTTAAAAATATAATTTTTGCATTTTGATTCAATTTGTTTCTGTACATTTTTGACAATCCACATTCCCACTTTTTAAATAAGTTTTTTATGTCTATTTATAGAGAATAAATTTTAAGCTACACACATGCATATGCATTCAATTGAATGTTAAATGTTTTTCAACAGTTTACTGCTGCATTAGCTTTTTGTCCACCAAGCCACTACACTAAACATATTCAAAATAAATAACAAATGTACAACAAAGAATAAACACATGTACTGGTATGCAACTACAAGAAACAAAATGTAAAGTTGTTCTCAAAAGATCCTCTTGAAGGTAAAGATTGTATCATCACAGATTTAATGACCAGCTTTTATCAATGTTACAGTGTAATCTAGTAAAAAACGAGCAGCATCAAAGCAATCTCATGAGAACAAAATATTGTTTCTTGTAAGATAATACAACACAGATTAATGCAATGTAAACAGATGAAGTAACATGCTTACCTTATTAGGTGTACATGACACATATGAATGTTCTTCAACAGCCTGCTGTGCACAAGTGTTTGCTAGAATAAGGTGACAGAAAAAAATTGTCATAAGAGAAATGCCTCTGGGTTTCACTGCTTCTGAGCGAGCATTTTTCAATTGGTAGTTGTCCAAAAAAAATGAAGTATGAGAAAAGTTTTATATTAAATAGAAATGGTTAGTCATTTTCTAAATAATTTTGCATTTAGTAGTTATTCTAAAAAAGAGAATAATGTTTGCAATATTGCAAGAATAATTGAAGGGTATATTATTCTTTAGTAAAAAACATTATATGTAACAGGATGCGATTCATAAATGCTATTACAAATAGTGCTGAGTTTCATCATACATTTCCTTTTTATTTACATTGAATATTTCTTTCCAATTGTTAGAAAGTGTTAGTTTTTCAAAGCATATTCTGAAAATTATTCCAGGCTGATTTACTACTGTTATCCACCAGTGAACCTAATGGCCTTTGTTATGTAGAAACAGCTGAATTGGACGGGTAAGATATTTATAAAAGCCTTATTTTTAAGGCAAGTTTCCTAATCCACAGTTTCTCTAGGTAGTGAATTGTGTTTAAGATAAGATTTAAGTATTGTAATGTTCTGAACTATTTGTAAGTCATTTTTGCTAGTCACTAGAATAAGAAAGTTTTCTATTTAGGGAATTCCCAACAAAGAAATAACTAAGCCAAGTTTATTTTCATCATTACTAAAGCACCCTAGTCCATAGAGTTATTTATTTTGTAGTTGTTGTAAGAATTTGATTATTTAAAGAATCAATGACAAAAAATAGGGAATTAAGCTAAGTACTCTGCACAGCTGAGGTAGTAGTAATGTTTTTTTTTTTGTATAGTACCAGCAATCTGTTATCCTAAAAGTATTATTGATTATTACTGTTGAATATTCTGTTTAAATGGTCTTGACTGAAAATGGATGAATTTTATGCATGAAAGAGCCTCAGGAATTTTTATTGTGTTATTTTTATGTCTTCAGAGAAACAAACTTAAAATGTAGACAAGCACTACCAGAAACTGCAGAGCTGGGAGAGAACAATGTAGATATTGGAAACTTTGATGGTATGTCTAAGAGCATCATATATTTAATAATTAAAATATTTCAAATGGTAATATTTTTTTCTCAGTAATTATTCAAAAAATTTGTTAGATTTCTTTGAAATAAATTGTACTTTTTAACAAATATTTCAGCTACCTTCTAGATAACAAACTTGTAAGATGTACTCAGTATAAACTTTCGTAAAAAGTTAATGTAGAGATATGATGTGAGAGAGTGGAAGTATATCAAATGTAGATCATTTTGTATTTAATAACAGTCTTTGTAGATACAAACTATCTATAGTGTAAGACTAGAACACAGCAAAATGAAAAATATAAGTATCATGCATAAGTTAGATTAAGTAATTAGGATTTTCAGTTTTAATAATTTTTGGTTGATTTTCCCAAGTCAAAAAATCAAAAACAAAATCACTTCTCCATATTATGAAATTTATATATGTATACAAATTAATCCAAGTCTTTGTGAGATTTTATTTATTTATTTAGTTTTTCTAAATCAGAGGAATTATGCTTAATTGTTTTTCTTTTAATTAACTGGTTTTATCAAACTCACTGCAAACATTTTCCTATGGCAATCTACTACATACCCAGCAGACTTACACCATTATAACAGTAGAAAAATCTTGTATAAAATACTCTTATAAATCATTTGTCTTGACCAATGTTTAGGGTGTAAAACTTTTGTTCTAACTGTTGTGTTATTAAGACTAGTTTTCAAACTCTTCTATACACTGACTTACAATGTAAATGCTGAAAAAGCAGCAGTTTCTCTTACTAATTTGTGTAATAATCAGCATGTAATCCAAAGTGTTATCTACAAAAGAAAAAATAATGTAACTAACACACCTACACATAATCCTTTGATCTAATTGTTAACATATAGTCCAGTAAAATTACTTCAAAAAAGAGCCTAAACTTTCTTTAAAGCTAATTTTTCCTCTTTTAGATGCTCAAACCTTTTATTAACAACATAGCAAATGTCTAGGAAGATATATTTTTAATCTGTTTCCAAAAAAAAAATCCAAATATGACAAAATATACACACAGTATGAAATTCATATGCAAGAGATACAAGTATTTTCATTGTGTTATTTTAAATTTAAACAAAAACTACCCAGGCTATTAAACTCAAAAATTCAACAGGTATCTCACTCGATATTTAAATATTTACATCATATACATCAACCTTTTCACAACAGGTAGGTCAAAGTGTACATGACACAACCTTTTACAGAGCTACATTCAAAATTTAATTAAGCTATTTTATTATCAATTTATACAAATAAACTTAGCATTAAAATGTAGTTAATAAATTAAATTTTAATATTATACAAGTTTTAAGTTCTTAATTTTATAAGGAAATACAAAAAAATCCTCAATTATCTTTAGTATGAGAATTTTGACATTTGTTCTCTAGGTCTTCCCTCTTTTCTAATTTATTTACCACCTCTCTGTGAAATATAGAATTTAATGTAAATTGCTTATTATATAGATATTACTCAGGCAAAGCATAATTTTATATCTTTCAATCTTATTAGTTTACAGAGCCATAAACTAGAAAATTAGACTCACTTGCCACATCCACCTGTCACATTCTCTTTTACAAACTGTCAATCATTCTCTTTGACATTTTATACTATATTATTTATAACAAATAAAAAGCCAGAGTTTTAATCTGTCAAGTGGCGTTTTATATTAAATTGTTTTCTGGACAGGGCATTGTCTATTTTGTTGTTTATTTTGAATTTTTTTCTCATGAAAATGACATTGATGAGCTTAGCTGAATTTTTATAGGCTCTTATTGCATAGTTAGAAAGCCAGAAATGTTACAATATTTAGAGAACATTGTTTGCTTTTTGTATGTTACTATTTTGTGTCCTAAGGTACATTACTTAGTTAAATAAAAAAACATTTAGTGTAGTAGCACCATTAATATAAAAGTAGACTAAAGTTTCATCAACAGTCAACAAGAAAGTAGACTTAGGTAAGTATATTTCTAGTTTTTCATGTGTATTCTTTAATTATTATTATTATAAAAGTAACTAAAATGTAAAAATTAGAAACTTGTTAGGTTAGATAAGCTAGATTAGGTAAGATAACAAAGAAATAAAAACAATAAATATTCTTCATAAGATATGCTTGTGAGCAACTTGTCAGTCAATGTGGTAAATTGAGCTGCATGTCCACTGAATGATTTACAACTTGTATGACAGGATTATTAGTTAAAGGTGGTTAAAAGGTCAATAAAACAACAAAATTAACTATAATCAGATGTATGGTGTTACAAGCTTTAAGTTATTTAGGATAAACGATTATGGTTTCCTGTTACAATTTGCAATCATTCTAGAAAATAAATAGAGTAATTTAGATTTATTTACTAATTTTTTTATGGTGGTTACAAGGAGTCAAATCAACTGATACTGTACAGAGTTGTGGTAGAGAAAATAACAAATAAAAAATGTCTCATATTGATTTAAGAGGTTTCAAGGATTATACAAATGAAGTTTTAAAATTTTCAGTTGAAGAAAAGTATTTTTGATCTTAATATGAAAATCACTTTGCACTTGGAGTAGTCAACACCCTGACTCCATATATTTATGGACAAAGATTTAATAAAAATACTTAATTAAAACTTTTGATTTACAAAAGACTTGTAATGGTTACTGAATGCTTGTCAAATTTCATTAAGATAAATTAAGTATTTTCAGAGTTATAGTATGTATACCTTCATGGTTACAAGGTTGTGTAAAATACACAAGCCCATTGTGAAAGGGTTAAAATGAGTTATAAAAAGTAATAATCAATGATAAAATTAACAAAAGGAACAACATTAGCAATAGCCACAGAAATGTTGACAGCAGCAGCAACAACAACAAAAACAATGACTACAACAAATACTAAAATAATATAAGATAATCCAAAATCAACTTTATGTTTGTGAGATGGATTGAAATGTATCATTTCATAAGGGGACATCTTTAATTCTTGTCTAGTGTTGAGGACACAGATTTTTCAGTGTTTAAATTCATTTTAAACCATTATTTATTAATGAAGTTTAAAGATAATTTGAATACTGAAAAATAAATACATGCAATGTTACAGTCAAGTGGCATTATCCCTCCACCCATTCATATAATGTTTAATATTTATACTATGGATATAGACCATTTTGCCACAAAACCTTTTGATTAAAGCTTTACCAATAGAGCAAAAATGCTCTTTAAGCAAAGTACCAGAAAGTTACAGAAAGTATAGAGATATAATGCTAAGTAAATGATATCACAACACTAGTTGCTGCAGACTTTCTAGGATAAACACCATTTTTCACTGTTTGATCAACCAGGTCTTCGAGATTTTAAGGGCCATGAAATTTCCACAAAGTATCAAGTTCTGCTTATTTCATTAGAGGCATGAACTTTAAGGGGCTCTTTGATACTTGCATAGGAGAGGCCATTTCACTTGGACTTATGATAGTACATACTATCTGCCCATTGGAAATGGTTTATTTATTCATTCTTTATAGGTTTTTGTGGAAGTATCTTGACCATCTGTGGTTGCAATGCTATGATCGACATTGTCTGCAATAATTTGAAGTGAACCTCCTGGCATGTTGCTGCTTCCAGTAGGTCTTGGAGAAACAAAGTAAAACAAACAAACTCCCTTGTGAATGAAAATGTAAACTCACAAAGTCGAAGCAAACATTCTATGCTTCTAAATGGCAGAACTGATTTACAGTGGAGCAGTTATTATTTGTGGCCATGCAGATTGAATGATGACTTGACCAATTGCAAGTGTTTTTGATAAGAGTTTGTCCGCTTTAAGATTTCACTGAGAAATGCACATAACATTTGTGGTATGAAAGAGAGTTAACATTCAATATCAGATATTTAACTAATCTCTTGATAAGAACATTTGCAACAAATTAATGTATTTATATCATTGTGTAGTAATATGGCAGTTGTTGACAAGATGTGAAGTTTTGCAAGGTCTGCATCTGAAGGTTTCACTTGATGGTAGAATTAATTTAAAATTGATGATGCTGTTTTCTTTAAAGATAAAACATTGGCTTTTCCATCTATCTCAGCCATGTTAATGTTATCTCAAACATATTCTTGCAACCTTCTTTTCAAATATCACACAATATTGTAAGCCTTTATGTTTGTTCCATGTAAATGATGCTTCAAAATATCAACAAGATCATAAAGTGGAAGCTAATCATTAGGCCTGAGTGGTAGTATTGATAGTATTCACTATTGAAATAGTTAAGAACTATTAATGAATGTGATACTGCATACTATTCTAATAGTGCACGTGATACTTACATATGCACATTTGTTGCCATATCACATGATCACTCAGCCATTTTTCTTTAAAACGAGGATTAAATATGGCAGTTGACATGAGGGATGATGTGATGGATGATTGTATTATTAGTTTGAGTAATAATGGCTTAAGCACAATTGAAATGGAATCGATTCCATTAGAAGGCTTTATAAGAAAGATTTGGAAGATTTTTGGTTTTCCATGAAAAGATGGGTGTATTTTCAAAACGATAAGAGAAAATTAATTGAAGTAACTTGTGAAGTTTGTAGCAAGCAATTCAAATATTGTGGAAATACTTCTAACATGTGTTTACATTTAAGCAATGTACATCCAAGTGATTTTGCAGCATTGGAAATAGAGAAAAAGAAGCTGCAAATGCAAGTAAGAAAAGCAGTGGGAGTAAAGGCCAAGTGCTGAGTTCACAAAAGCACCTTTCAGCAATGTTTGGGGCTCATTTGCCACTCACCAAGTGCAACCCTTGCTGGAAGTACCTAACAAATTCATTATGTTATTTTCTTGCTAAAGATATGCAAGCATTCCATATAGTTAATGTTCCTGGTTTCTGTTATATGATTAAGGTTTTTGGGCCATGCTAGTCACCTCCAGATCGCAAGACTATAGCTTGTCATTATATGCAGGAATTGTACCAATGGGAGAAGTTTAAAGTCAACAGCATCTTG